GGAGGTCTTTGTAAAACGTTACAAACCTGAGACTAGTAGATTGCTTACAAGTACAGGTTTGCTGCACGTAGACATTACTATGCTAACTAAGATTTGCATTGACTTGACTTAACAAGTACACTGCTCAGCCCTGTTAAATGCAAACATGCGCAGGTCTTTACCTAGTAGCCGCATGATTATAACTAGGAAAACAGTCGTTCACACAACAATGACAAAGCAAACTTTGGTAGCTAGTCTAACGAACTACATGTGAGTGGGTTGTAAGAAAAACAACCATGACAAACAATAGGGTCGTTCGATGACATGGCAAAGGGTGCACTGTAAACTCATTTTGACAAGGGGTTGTCGTACAACGACGAGCGTTTGTCAAAAATACTAATAAAGGTTATGTCGAACGACGAATATCTTGTCATAGTTGGTTGAATCAACAGGGCAAAGATTGGTATCAGCCCCAGCACCTAGTCGACCATTCATAAAATTGACGAGGATTATGGAGGCTATTGTGAAAACTACCAGGGTCTTATTCGTAATATGGAACATAGATTTGCTTATGATTTGTAATTTATATCCTTGTCGAAAGAACCAGCTACACCATCGCAACAATACTGATACATGCTTATGTAATCTATGTCCTTGTCAAAGGTATCAGCTACACCTTTGCAACACGGACTTAGTTACGCTAGTTAGACGTGTTAGTAGTAACATACACAAAGCTGTTACTTGTTATATAGGTGGCGCCAAAAACGCTTCCGGCCGTTTCATTTTGAAATTTTCAGTTGCGCACCAACCGCCGTGCAGTGATGTGGCCTCCTGCGCACTTCCGTGAAAATGGTAGGTGATAACAGTGTTCGGTCGTTTTTGTCATTTTTTAATGAAATGTATGTCTTTCAACTGATAGTTAATGCAGATTGAATCAGAGAAATTTGCTAAATAAGTGCGTGATGTATGGAAGCAAGCACAATGTGTTCTGCTCCAGGTCATATTGTTCTGCATATGCTATAATATAGCGATGCTTTCTTTCAGGCTTTCATCAGGAGCGAAAGCTCCAGCTTGCAAGCAAGGGTCGCTACACTGAAGACAGCAAACTGCAGAAACTTAAGAATTCTAAAAATGAAAAAGCACCTAAATTCAAAGGGGCTAATGAATTTGAATGCCCCTTAGATTTGAATGGGTTTGCCCCTTAAAATTCGTGTTCCGCAGACTTAGAAATAACATGTTTCCGAATCAAGGCATTCCTCGATGTTGCGAGTCCCCAAACCAGTTATTGCGATTCAGGGAACCCAAGTTGATTATCAACTCAAACCTAATGCATGTAAACGTGTGATTCTACAGTGCACTCGATAAGACTGATGACGCTCATTGCCTTTTCGCATGCGTTATTGCCCTTGCCCCTTCGGTCATGAGTGTCATCACCATTGTGTGTGTAATGTGTATGTACCATTTTAAATACATGACCTACTCTCAGTAATGCTGTTTTGCTGTAATAATGAGACTGCAGAGCGGCGACCTGCGATTTGTGGAGAAAACTGACGAATACAAGGGAGGTCTTTGTAAAACGATACAAACCTGAGACTAGTAGAATGCTTACAAGTACAGGTTTGCTGCACGTAGGCATTACTATGCTATATAACTAAGATTTGCATTGATTTGACTTAACAAGTACACAGCTCAGCCCTGTTAAATGCAAACATGCGCAGGTCTTTACCTAGTAGCCGCATGATTATAACTAGGAAAACAGTCGTTCACACAACAATGACAAAGCAAACTTTGGTAGCTAGTCTAACGAACTACATGTGAGTGGGTTGTAAGGAAAACTACCATGACAAACAATAGGGTCGTTCGATGACATGGCAAAGGGTGCGGGGATTTGCGCTAAATAATTTTCCTTGTAAAAGTAACAAACGTTTGTTGAAATGAGTTTACAGTGTGCGGGGATTTGCGCTAAATAATTTTCCTTGTAAAAGTAACAAACGTTTGTTGAAATGAGTTTACAGTGTAGGAGTCTTGACACTCGCCCGTATTGGTGTTTTGTGTGCGTCTAACGTACAGGAGCTGGACCCTCTTGCTGTTCGGTCTCTGATTAAGCCAGAGCTTCACGGAAAAACTAGCGTGTTTCCCGTAACGAGAAGAAGCAGATGATATCAATTTCTACGGTCCTAGGTCATTGGTTGACCTTCCAGGTCAGGTCAATGACCCAAAAGTCGGGAAAATCGGGACCTGGTAGAACTTCGTGAATTGAGTTTGTTGTAGTTTTTTCGGGGTGCTGATTACGATTTTCAGATCAGCTTTGATCAAAGATGATGTCTCTATGCATTTAGGCTTGGTCGGGTCAGGTCAGGTCAGGTCAACCAGTCGGAGTCCTGCCAGCTATCCATAGTAGGTGTAAATCACCACCGACAGCTTCGAAATATTACGAAGGCTTCGAATAAATATTACGAAATATTACGATTAATATGTTACGAAGGCAACAAAACTACTTCGTAAGTGTTCAATGCTCAAACGTTTCAATGTAGTCACGCTTACGAGATGAGTAGACATTAGACAATGCTCTTATCATCAGACGCTACTGCAGTGTCAGTGCGTCTGCTTTTTGAAAGGCCTGCGCTCTCTCTCGTCTTTCTGGGCTATGTATCTGGTGCAACAACTATATAGCGCGGTGCAACAACTACATATACCTATAGCGCCAACCATTCAGCGTTGCATCCACTCGTCGACGCACGGGGAAGGGTCTTTCACAAGGAGATGAAACTCCAGAAAGTAGCAACTGGCATGTCTCAGATATTCCATTCCGGTCACCTGAGGTTCCGGAGGTTTCGTTCACGTGATCGTGACCTATTGTTTTGGGTCAATGGGGTAAATATGAAAACCGAGTCAGAATGATCATCGCCAGTCACACCCCGGCAAGACCGCGCCCAAACCTCGGCAACATTCAATAGAGCAAGTGGCGGCAACAAAATGAAGATATCAAGTTCGGACGTCGCTACTGAAACCGCAAGGTCGTTGACAACGTCGGATACACCTGTCTGCGAGGGATGAGAGTCCAGACTTGGGATGCTCCACAGGGACTTGGTCCATCATGAGGTCGCCGAACAATTACCGACGGGAAGAGCGGCTTACTCTTGTTGTCGTCGAAGACGTGCTATCAAATTACATGATAATTATTCACGGATTGCTAAAAAGATACTAACGAGTCACTCTAAACCAATAATAGCGGTGTTAACATTTACCTCAACATGAGTTCGTCTCAAACCGGTTTTGTCAGGGCTGCATGCGTGACAAAGTAACTTCATTTGGTTTTGACGCTGCCATGGTCGACTAGGAATTTCAGGCTTCATATCGGCGAGCTCATCATCGTGTGCGTCTTCTGCGAGCCCAGAGTCGAAGTATCGAAGTCATGTCGTTGAATCGCAAAACCATAAAATAAGCAAGAACCGCTCTAACCCAAGAAAAACCAAGTTAATCATTGGAACTTAACGAAGCGATTTGTTCCAGACTTCCCTCCCAGCAAAAGCCCTACTTCCTAAATATAGGTAATGCGTATCAGTTGGCTAAGCTGAAACTATCTATAGTTATTATTTTCGTGCTTAATTTAGGCTTATTGAGGAAAAATCGCGATGATCTCAAATACTCTAAGTGATGTCAAAGGACGTCATATAGGGCACAAGTTGAATACAAACCAGGCATCAGTCCACGAAAACGGGGCACAAAAATAAATTTCAATTCCTGAAACATATTTGGATCATATTTGGCGCTAACTGAGCACTACTCAGTTAGCGCCAAAACAGATACAGAAAAAACAATACAGAAACTGCTCAGTGAGCAGTTTCTGTATCACTACCTATGGGGCATAATGGAGGTGTCACGTGACTGACCTGACCTCAGGCGACCTTTACGGAAAAGAAAATCAGAGGAAAAAAGCTGTAAAAATTTGAAAGCTTGTGATTTCCTAAGTTTCGTCTCCCTGCGAAAGATGCCCCGACTCTGAGAGCGCTGCGAATCTATGCAGCATTTTTAGACCATCGAGAGGTTCGCATATGACGTCATAGGTCACTGACCTGACCTGATATCAAAATGCAGCAAATGCCAAATGTTCAGGCTTAAGTATCAAAGGTCAGCTAAGCCAAATTAAAGTTCCCTAACCGGACGTGTTTCGACCGATCGTGACAAAAACAGCAGTGGTCGCACCAACCCCCTCCATCGGGGAAGGTTAAGTGATGAAGCATGTTCATAGCTGATGCGGACCCCCTAGATGGCATCCGATATAATTTTAATTTTGCACAGCGTCATTGTGCTACTAGTGGAACAAATTGAATCAACAGACAGATCGATTTGAAGACATCGGGGCGTATGATGCACCCTAATATGCATATGCAATTGCCATTTCAAGCAAGGCTTGTGCTTTTGTAGGTCGGTCATCTTTCATACCCAAGCAAAGCTATACGTATTTATTTGGTGAACAGCATATCATTCTCAATAATAATTGAAATGCGATGCACTAAAATGTGAAGAAAACTGCTTGATGTAACAGTCAGCATATAAAAAGATTAAGGGATATTTTCGATAGTTATACTGCATGGTCAATGGTCACAATTGCTAAAACACAAATGCTTGTTTTGCGGCTAAAATGACACAGATATGTCTTTAAAATGAGATGAAATTTTTATTCAAAAACTGACCCAACACGGGTGACATCAACACGTTTGCTACTCATGTTCCCTAACGGAAGATAATAACGTAGGGGTCGAAACAAAAGTGGGGGCAGCGGTGCAGCTCAGAATAGTCCCTGAAGTGCACACCAGTGCGCAGCGCCGGTTTCCTTGTGACCATGACACAGCACACGCGCGCACATTATCAGATATTTCAAGGATAGCTCTAATTCTTGCGGGAATTCTACGCAATAATAATGTGATCTCATGAGCCATTTATGTATGTTAATCTCTCAGCTCCATACTGAAGGGCTTGTCATAACCGACGAACTGAAACACTTCACCACTGACCACTGGAAGCGGACACGATCAGTTAACAGAGGAACTGGACACCCTCACTACCGGTCACCCGCCTCCCCCCGCGTCTCCGATCGTCACCTACTCTCCGGTCGGCGCTTCGACGCCCTGCCAGCCGCCGTCCGAGTGGCGCACCTGTTGCGCTACCGTCCGCCGTTTATTGGCCGTCACCTGCCGCCGAATGGCCCGCGGAGGCCTTGACATTGGTTCAAGGAGTGGTATATAGGCGGCACGCAACCGGCGACTTGCACAGTTCAGCCGAGAACGCCCAGTCACCCAGTCATGAAGGTAGGTGGTCGGTCACCGGGACGAGTCCGGTCCCACGGCACAGGTCGGGGACTCTACTTGCGTGCAGTCAAAGACAAGGTCCAGAAAATTACGTGATACGCTAGCACAATGTTTAATTAACATTTTTTTTAAATCTAATGTTTGATCATTGATTCATCGGTAGTGTTCCTTACAAATATTAATCGTTAATCTATGCGTAATGTTTTTTTTTTGTCGCCACAGTGCCAGCACCAAAATTGCGATAACTGCGCAGTGCGCATGGTTGCTCCAGTTCTCCATAGGTCCATAAATGTCACGCGCTAGTGTTCTAATGAGCCATTTATGTGACCTCCAGTTCTTCCTGATCGCCGCCCTGGCCGCCGTGGCCGCCGCCCAGCACGGCAACAGCTACGGACACGACGAGTACGACGCAAAAACGCCGTGAGTAGCGTGACTCGGTAATAAATGAGCTGCCAATGCTGGTATTACTGGCGACCCATGAGAACATAGTGACAACCTCCTTGATATCATTACAAACCGCCAATAGCCTGCAAACGCCAATAATTATTGCTGAGATACCTCGACTCATTCATTCATTCATTCATTCATTCATTCATTCATTCATTCATTCATATTGTATTGTTTCAGGTACGCGTACGACTACGCCGTGCACGACCCGCACTACGGCGCCCAGTTCAACAAGAAGGAGACCAGTGACGGCGGCAACGTCGAGGGCTCCTACAGCGTCGTGCTACCCGACGGCCGTACCCAGCACGTCAAGTACTACGCCGACCACTACGGCGGCTTCAACGCCGACGTGTCCTACGCGGGCTACGCCCAGTACCCGGAGCACCACGCGCCCGCCTACAAGGCAGCTCCTGCCTACAAGCCCGCCCCCGCCTACAAGCCCGCTCCTGCCTACCACGAGCCCGCCTACAAGCCCGCCTACAAGCCGGTCCACAAGCCCGCCTACACGCCTACCTACAAGGCCGCTCCCCTCTACAAGCCGGTCTACTAAGTCGCTCAATTGAAACGGCTCATTGAGAGAAACGCATATATAGTTTCACGGTCATATGTAGGATGTTTAACCCGCGCCCTGGTGGGGTGTGTTTAACAGTCTTTCAAGCTGCGTTATGTAGCTGATATTTTCAATTTTGTACATAAAGTCTATATGATGTTTGTAATTGCATGAGAAATGTACCTGATATGTCCGATACACCTGATGTGTAAACTTCCAAATGTGTCGCAGTCATTCCTAGCTTGCCGTGTGTCTTCCGTTTGTCTGTTACCTATAATTCGTGTTCAACGTTTGATGCAATACATGCATACTAATATCTACATGAGCATTGTTTGAACGAGTATGATAGGTGGAAAGGTGCATTTAGACAATATGAGCAACACATTTTCTTTATGTTGACATGAAACAGGGCGGTCTGCCAACAAAGCTACTGGGACATATTTTCATTCGCGATGCATCCATTATTTCCACGAGTTATGGCTCAAAATTCCACGAGTTAAGGTTAAAAATTCCACGAGTTGAGGTTAAAAATTCCACGAGTTGAGGTTCAAAAATTTAAAGATAGTAAAGGCTAGTTATTATAAGCACACACATGATGACACATGTTTCGATCATACTGTTAATTTGCACTAAAAGGCAGACATGTGCTTGGATCCGAGTGATGATTCTATGAACGCAATGGATCATGAAACAAACGACAAGCTAGGATCTATAATCTCACTGGATCCCACGCTGAAAGTATATCCCATGTATATGTGAGCTCATGGAATCTGACAACAAACCATGACCAAGCATCATAATTCATAATCCGAGTGGATTCTGTCACAATGAACCAGTTAAAACATGTTTCTACTTTCTAGGCATGGTTCCATGTCATTTAAAGCCGCTAAATATGAATTGTGATGTCTGACCAGTATAACGCCTTTTGGGGCGACTAACGGAGCGAGCGAGAGGGTGGGCCTTGCACGTGCGAAATTGCGGGGGGTTCCTCCAACTGACTTGTGCACGGCACCCTACTAACCGGTCTCTAGCGATGTGCCAAATTTGGGCACAATCGGCCCAGCCGTTCTCGAGATCTGGAAGCGGCACCCTGCACGTGCGCACGTGCAAAATGGGTCCCAACTGACTTGTGCACAGCACCCTACTAACCGGTCCCTAACCGTGTACCAAATTTGAGCGCAATCGGTCCAGCCGTTCCCGAGATCTGGAAACGACCCCTGCACGTGCGCACACCCCAACTCTGGCACATGTATATGCAGTGCCTAGTGGGTGCCTACCTACATGCCAACTTTCAGCGCAATCGGCCAAGTAGTTACCGATATATTGCAACAATTACAAAATTGACACCTCTTCGTTTTGCACGTGGCACGTGCATAAGGGGTCACCCACATGCATCGGGAATAGTCCAATACTTGGTAGAAGGAATGAAGCTACCCTACAAAAATTACCGCGTGTAAATCGGTCAAGTGGTTGCTGAGATATAAGCCTCGCAAAAGCGTGACCACGGCCGGCCGGCCGGCCAGCCGCTCGTACTCAGAAATTTCCGTTAATCTAAGGAAAGACTACGCTCGCTTCGCTCGCTCCGTAATCACATAATATCCCTGAAATAGAGCCATTGCGAATTGCAGCCAGTTGAGGCACTTAACCCTCGCCGGACCTATTGGTTTTCTACATACGCGCCGGCCGAGGGGGGGGGGGGGGGGCGGGTACGACCCCCCCTCGCCGTTTCGCCCCTGGTGGAGCTAGCGCGTCGCGGAAAAAACGAGCGTGTGCGCCGTTACGAGACGCAGAGATTGGTACCCCATTTTAAGGTCCTAGGTCAACCGGTGACCTCTGAGGTCAGGTCAAGTGCCCCAAGGTACGGTTCAGTTTTTGGTGAATAACTTCGCAAAAAACGGCCGCAGAGCGCCGATTTTGGCAGCATCGTGTTCACCTCGCTCAGGCGCGTCGAATGATATACTTTTTGTCCGGGTCAGGTCAAATTGGGGTGTTGACCTCAGGTCAAGGTCAGGTCAGCACCCCCAGGTCACGAAGTAGGTCGAAAGGGGTCATGTCGCATATCATTCGATTCGGCAGGTCTTCCTGAGTCCATTGGTGGCTTTCCCGACTCGCTAGCTCAATTTGATCAAGAGTTATTGACGAAAAACTAATATGACCTTGATGACGTCATAAATGACGTCACGCAAGGTCAACATTGCAAAAGTGACGCATCTAATCTTGCAAGGAGTGCATAAAATCACGATTCTGTGTGCTTGAGATAGTTGGAGATCGTTCCCGGTGCCAGAATAGCAGTTTTCATTTTTCCCCATTGACTTATAATGGTGAGGTCACGAAAATGACCTGACCTCATATGACCTTTAGGAAAAATCTGAGATATACAAGTTGTGGGACTCATAATGGATACTAGATCCTGCAAGTTTCATTTCCCTGTGACATCTCCTCTGGCAGTGAGGGCGTTGCGAAGTTGCGACATCTGAAGACCGTGCAGAGGTTCACTTATGACGTCATAGGTCAGTGACCTGACCTGACCCAAAAATGCGGTTGGTGTCAAAAGATGCGGCTTGGATCAAAGGTCAGGTATGCCAAGTTTCAGCTCTCTATCGCCAGAGTGCTCGGAGCTATCGCGAAAAAACCCTATGGGGGGGCGGCACCCCCCCTCGGCCGGCGAGGGTTAAACCAGTATAACGCCTTTTGGGGCGACTAACGGAGCGAGCGAGAGGGTGGGCCTTGCACGCGCGAAATTGCGAGGGGGTACCTCCAACTGACTTGTGCACGGCACCCTACTAACCGGTCTCTAGAGTCTAGCGACGTGCCAAATTTGGGCACAATCGGCCCAGCCGTTCTCGAGATCTGGAAGCGGCACCCTGCACGTGCGCACGTGCAGCAGCACCCCAACTCTGGCACATGGATATGCAGTGCCTAGTGGGTGCCTACCTACATGCCAACTTTCAGCGCAATCGGCCAAGTAGTTACCGAGATATTGCAACAATTACAAAACGAACACCTCTTCGTTTTGCACGTGGCACGTGCATAAGAGGTCACCCACATGCATCAGGAATAGTCCAATACTTGGTAGAAGGAATGAAGCTACCCTACAAAAATTACCGCATGTAAATCGGTCAAGTGGTTGCTGAGATATAAGCGTCGCAGAATCGTGACCACGGCCGGCCGGCCGCTCATACTCAGAAATTTTCGTTATTCTACGTAAGACTCCGCTCGCTTCGCTCGCTCCGTAACTACTTCGTAAATGTTCAAATGGCTTCTAAATTCGAATTTAACTCCAACAACTAGCCCATAAACATGTAAAACTCGAAAAAGGGAAACGGGGTCATCAAAGGTCAATGACCTGACCTTCAGGTGACCTTGACACCCATCCTAATGCATGGGGGCAACATCATATCACGTGTTTGAACTTTTGAAACCACAAAAAGACTGCAAACGCACGGCTAATGCGAGCCGACATACGCCGAATCGCGATTCCGGCCAAACATGGTCTCGAAAAGTAGGTCACAGGTCAAAGGTCATTTGGGTCAGGGTCATGAAATTTTCAGGGTAGGTAGGTGTAAAATTGATTAAAGCGAGGGTACGTAAAGTTTCGTCGCGATCGGAAGCTTTTTACGCGAGTTATTCGCGAAAAACCGAGGGGGGGGTCCGTTCGACCCCCCCACCATACGGGCGAGGGTTAAATTAGTGATCTGTTTACTGGTTAATTAATTATAACACCCTTACAGCATTCGAATTTGACCCATTAAACGTGTTTTCTAGAAATTGTTCGCCTTCAGCGTATCATAAGTTGTATGTTTCACTGTATGGCATTAGATATGAAATGAATAAAAAAATATAAAAAATACCCATCTCCATTTTTTTGCATACTAGTTAACATATAATTCCATAGGCAACACTGCACAGGCCATAAAAAACAATATTTTTAACTGGCCACCTTTGAAAAAAGAAAAGAAAAATAAGTTGTACTTAAAATTTTGAAAATTAAGAAACCGAAATTTCGAAAAACTAACTATACCAAAATAATGCTTGGAAAGTGGCAATTCCATTGATATATAGTTTTTCTACTTAAGGTTTAGCTTTATGGGAGTAATTAATGTTCAAAACAAAGTAGTTTTCAACTTTGCAAAATTCCCCGAGGCTATAACTCGATCACCGTTACTCTGACAGACCTGACCTTTTCAGCATCGGCTTCTGCGCACAGGAGTACTCTATGTATACCAATTTTCAAGAAAATCCGAGATGGTCGGGTGTTAATTTGCAACCCCGAGCTGTTGAATCGTCCTGGAATGCCCCAGCTGAGGTGGGAACTTCGAATGAGAAGGTGGATGACGTTTATGGTGGATCCTTATTTAATGACTGCTCACCGTGCTGCCTTGACACCCATGGCATGACCGCAGCTCACGAACATTCTTTCGTCTGGAACAAATCTTGGCTTTGTTGACGTTACATGGGCTGTCGCTCGACAGAGCAGCACTGACATCTCTCGGCAAGGCTGGCAAACTATGACCGCTTGGCGTAGAAGGGGACGCTGCAGCTGCATCATCGGGAAATACAGGAGCAAAACGCATCACATCCCAAGTGCGCGTTTCCGCAACGACGATACAAACGTGGCCTTCATGTTAGTATTTTCACCGTTCCGTCAATTTTTATCCTCAGGACAGCCGATTCTTTCATCGGATCGGCTGTTCCTTCACGTTCCTTCACACGGGCGTAGGAACGTCATGAAAAGTGGGTGGGCCACCCTGTCAAGGGGCCTCCTTTTCCAGGGGGCCTCCTATTTTCAGGGGCCTCCAACTTTTGCCTCATCCTGCTGGCTGCTTTCAAGTATGACCTCCAAATCTAGCTTCTGAGATCGGGCAGATGTACCCAGGGGCGTAACCGCTAAAGCGAACAGTGCGGAAAGTCCGCACCATTTTTAAAACTTCTTCCCCCTCCGATTTTTTTTTAGAATCTATTTGCCGCAAACGGCGCATGACAGGGCCTCGTCTAAGGAATTTTCACTGGGGGGGACAGAGCCTGAAGGAGCCAAACCTAGGGTACCCCCAAATCCTGTTTTCTCACCGGATTTAGACCACTTATTTTCATCTTAGCCCTGACACCATATTTTTTTTTTGAAAACTAAAGAAAAAATAATAGGCCATCCGACCCATGCTTTTATATTAGTTTGTAGCCTCCTCACATTGCCCCATCAGACAGAAATAATCACACTTATCGGTGTTGAGCGTTTGTTTGAGTGGCAGTGCCTTGTCTAAGGAATTTGCATGCCGAGCCTTATGTTGGGGGCCCACACGCTGA